CGGAGCAGCAGCAAATCTGGGGGACAAACAGAAAATGGGAGACCTGTATCTGAGAAATATGTGAATCATATGCCTGTTTCACACAGCTTAACCACAGTACTGAGCACAGAGAGCCCAGGATATTCAAACAGCCATCAAAGATACTGGAATTATGCTCACTCTGAAGGTAAAGGCACCATAAAAATATTACTAAAAAACATTGTGTCAGTGAGGTGTAATTACTTTCCACTATGACTGGAAATATAGCCTCATTCTGAAGCCATGGCAGATAGTAGGGAACAGTTCCATACTGAAACTTAGATGTTTACATGATTTCCAAGGCCTCCTACCAGACCACACTGATTTTTTTCTGAGCAGTTTGCATAGCAACCTGTATGATCAGAGACTTCTAAAAACCCTGAACTCCATTCTCTCAGCACAAGTATCAGTACATTAACCTGCTGAAGACAGCAAGATACACAGATATCAATGAAGAGCAAAGAGCAAGACCAAGCCTTGCAAAGAAAAATCTACTCTGTTGGCTGCCTCAAAATATTCAGGGAAAAAATCAATTGTAAGAGTAATAAAAATAAACAGCAGGACTGCTATCTCAGAAAGGCCCCGGGACATACAGGGATAGATAAAAATCACTGAAGCACAGTCTAGGATCTTAGAAATGCCAAAAATGCGTTTGAAACCGGATCAGTTGCAAACATCCTGCCTTGCTTCTGGTGTGGCAGTGCACCCAAAGGCAAACAGAGGGAAGTCTCGTGAGGAGGCGCCAAGCAGGGATTTGGTTGATTTGGGTCAGTTCCATGCTTCTGCCACACATCTTCCATAACCTTGGGCAAACAGATTAATTGCTCTCTGCCTCAATTCCCCGCAGTAAAATAGTGTCAGCAATAAGAGCAACATGGATTTCAAAGTAATTTCATCCGTATTTCACTCACAATAGAGCCTACAATTTCTGACGTAGCTGGTACATGACTTTTAAATGGCCGTACAGTCTTGTCTCTTCGCCCTTTATGTGAGAGCTCTCCCTTTACAGCATCTTTTCTGTACACCTTGTGCAGCAGACACTGCAGCACAGCAGCCATAAAACAACGGGAGCCATAATTTCTTTGAACTCCGGGTCAAGCTTGTTGTTAGCCAAGTCTGTAAGAACTCGTATAGTAAATTACATATGTCTCTTTATCAGCAGGATCGTAAAATAAAACTTTACAACCCTTCTGAAGGTCACGGCTCTGCAACAAACAGTAAGACAAAACAATAAATTTGCCCCTGAGACCACCGTTTTTGTGGCTTCGGCAGCTTTGGTTAGATCTGAGGAAATTAGAACTCTGTCAATCTTTATACAAAGTCTTATTTCTCCTTTGGACCCATCTCTCATTTGTCCCTAAGCGTAAGGTAAAGGCTAAAACAACAGTCATAATGGCTGTTACTGGTTTCAGCAACAGCAAAGCCACGTTTATCTCTATACACACATTTAATGGAAACAACGACAAAAGTGTTTCTTGGCAAATTTGTCTCTTTCACCCCCTGAGGAAAAAGACATCTATAAGCTATTCCCAAAACAATCAATATTAGTCCAGCAAGTAAAACTGTATTTTACGTTTCCCATCAAAGTCTTGGCATTCCCTCAAACAAGTGATGCTTTATAAATTACAACTTCTACCAAAAAGCCAGAGAAAGAACTGCTGAGCTGGGCACCTTGCTGCATTTCCCTCAGGTCTGGGGTCCCAAATGCAGGTAATTCAGCTAAAATACCTCTGCTGGTCTGCTGGCTTTTAAACATTTGGCCCATGTACCTTTTTGTCTCTGCTTATACAGAAGGTACAACAGTCCAGGATCTGAACACTGCCACAGTATCACAACATAATCATAAGGGAGAGAACAGCAATCTCTACTCCTTGCTTCCGAGTGTGCATTTGCTCTCCTGTGGATTTAAAAATGAGAAGACTGAAGCAGGGTGTTAGTTCTGCAGGTATTATTTTTTCAATTAAAAATAGAGTACTTTGGGATACTTTGATCTTAGACATTAAAAAATTAAGTGATGGGATTATCTGATATTCTTTAAGTGAAAAAAACAGATGTTTTCCTCTAAACACTCTTCTGAGAGGCTGGCATTTAGTTATGCAGTTTATGGTGTAGGTCTTTTATCTCCCATCACTCTGTTCTAATGTTGCAAAGCTACCAACGCAGTAATCAATGACACTCATTCTTTCCTGTGAAGCTCAGAGTAAGGACAAACTTGAAAAGAGGCAAGCACGGGCTGCTGAGGAACTGAAACTTGAAGAAATACTTACAAAATGATGCTAGCAGAGACAGTGCTGGTCACCTGGGCTTGAGAGCTGACTGCTTATGGCACTAAGAACACCCCAGTGTCAGCTGCTACACTGCACAGTTGGCCTAAGAGGCAATTCCTGTGTGCAAAGAGTAACAGCTTGTTATTTGAAGAAGTGTCAGTTTTTATCTGGCTTCAGTCACTGTCAGGGTGCAGACTCTGAAAAGATGTAGCAAGGAAAGCTGCTTAAATGAAGAAAATTTTGGTGCATTTCCCTGCTTACATGTCCAGGAGAAATGAACTCCCTGTCCTCCAGATTAACTTCCGTTTGGTTCTAGGAAGGGAGATTCAAAGGAAATACATGACATTCCACATGGAAATCCCAGAAAAAACATGTTGCATTCCTTGGCAATACCAGTCCGTGTTATATATACATAGCATGAGGTGAACAATGCCAGCCTGGAGGGAAACTCCAGGGCTGGCTCCCACCCTTGCTGGCTACCCATAAATTTTCTCACAAGAATGCCAATCTCGGTATTAACCCTGAGCAGGATCATAATGCACAGGGCCTCAGCCTCTTCTCTCTCTCACTGCTAGCAAAACCAGCACATGTTGAAGGCTGTTACCAAGACTAGACAGCCCTTCCTTCCCCTTCTAAGCCATCTGGTTACCCCTCTTGGGACAACTCTGCCCAGCTCCTGCTTCATCTGCCAAATTACCGGGGGTAGTTTTCTTGAGCTTTCAGACCCAAGAACAATGTCCCCTTAGTTAATTTGATACACAGCTCATCAAGCACCTTGAAATGAACCAGGACGTGTAGAAGACTGGGGAGACTGCTCCTCACGGACACCTAGTTGGAAACACAGAAAAACCCCACTCACAGTGCATCCTTGTTACTTCTTTCTAACTTACATCTACCTATGTGCAAATCAAAGGTTTGACCTTTATCTTCAGTCCTGCAACAATCTCTGAAAAGGGCAAAGAAAGGAAGGTGGATTAGACCAGTTCTTTGTTCTTGCCTTGTCACCCTGACAGCCACCCTGCAAACCTGTTTGAAGCAGTTGTGTCCTTCCCTGTAACTTGTGACTCATGCCACATTAACCTAGAACTTTTTGGCACCTTCCATTGTCTTCTTTTTACATCTTGTTTTTCACCTGTTGCTGTTTAGCCCCACCTTGCCCATCAGATCTGGCATCTCAAGGCAAGATCAATAACTTCCCATTGATGCCAAAACCAACACAGGCAGCCCAGAGCTGCTGTTGGGGATTGACAGCAGAGCTGACAGGTGTTTTGCCATCACCCCACTCTGCTCTCAGAAGATGGGCTCCCAGTGCAGGCATTCTCATTTACAGGGACTCTGACAGAATCAGTGACTAAGGTTCTCAATAAGGATACCTGCTCCTTGCAAGTGATTTAGGGAACATGCTGTGGATGGGGATGTTCGGCAGCTGTACTCTTCCCACATTTTTCTGCAGAGAAGTAATTCCATAACATAAAGGCCAGCAATAACACTTAAGACAACATACAAAGGAGAGGTGGTCTAAATGCAGGAAGATACTTGAGTGTCTGATGTTGGAACTTCTCAGTGGTTTCAAAGGGAAGGCAGGTGCTCAAACTGTTTTGTGGAACCAGACTTGCCAACTCAGGGCTGTACTGGGAAATGCAAACCAGCAAACGCACAATTAACACCTGCTTAATCAAGTGGATGAAGGAGACACGAAAAAGTCTTGATATGCAGGAGATGTCTCAGTGCACACAAGAAACCCCCCAAAGTAATGACTTCATGGTGATGTTGCTTGCATGATCCTAACAGGTGAAAACCCCAGCCATGGAGCACACCGAGACACGGCAGGTGCCACATGACATAAACAGGTATTTTTAGATGCTGCAGGTGCAGTACTACACAGCCTTAGCAGAGAGATCTGTGACTGCAGTAGTACCAGTACAATGCTAGTTGATTACTATTTTTCAATCACTTCCATCTACTTGGAAAAGAAGTTTTCAGGGCTGTCCTGCAGCCACTTCTCATAGTGTGTGCCAAAATACAGAGGGTTCATCAGCAGTAAGGCCACTACCTTGCTTTTTCTCTTTATATACATTGTTTATACTCCAGCCTGAGTGGGCTACAGAGTAGCAAGCACTATGCAAATGATCATTTTCTGGATTGTGATAATTTGGAAGGGAAGAATGTTTCTAGAAACCCTCAGTTCAAGTCCCAAATAAATCACAGGTTTCCACCTGCCTGAGGCAAGTCACTTGGTCTTCCCATAATACTGTCTTCAAAACAGAAGTATTTCTTTACCTGGCAGAGAAGCTGAGAGCATAAACCCATTACAGACTACCATGGAGTTCAGATCCTGTAGCGATAAGCAATTACTTAATAGCAGTGCTTGGGAACATCTGTTGGTTGTTTCTCAATATAGACCAAACTGCTTGGTCTGATGAGCACATGAGAGATTTTCTCAATAACAACAACAGAAAAGCAAAGCAACAACAAAACCCCAAGAACTGCAATTTGGCTCTGGAGGGATGAATGGATGAACAAACTCTCATCTAACTGAACATTTCTGTCTGCTATGAATATGTGCTTTCTTGGAGACAGAAAACAAATACCCTCTGCAGAAGTTGTGCAACTAATTTGGTTATACAGAAAATGAAACCTCTACCAAAGACACTGAAGGAAACTCACTCATGCTGAGAGTTACAGTTTTATAACAGAAGAAGAAGCCATACAGAGTTATAAACAACCCAGTGTACATCTTTATTGATGATTCACAAAATCAAACATCATTCAACAAACTCACTCCAGCAATTCCAATATGACATTGTCTTGCTAGGTCTGGCTGATTTTTCCAAGGTAAACAGTATTTGCTTTTAAAACAGAGTGGGGAGAATCATGCTTTACAGTAGCTATTTCCTGACTGTAGCAGTAACAAGTGTATCACAGCCATGACAATATTTTAGGTCACACTTCCTTATTAATATTTCACATAAAACCCCCTGCTACCTTCAGTGCTTGTTCAGTACTTCCATGGCTTGTACTAGTCTCATGAGAATCGTAACCCTTTAGTTAAGTGGGATTTATTAATACTCCTGAAGTGCACTAAAGGCATGAGATGCTATCAAATTAATTGCCAGTGTCCTTCCATAATTTTACCAGAACATATATTATTTTCAATAACCCAGTATTAAACTGACCAAAAGTTTCACTGATGTAAAAAATGATCTTGATTTCCCACTAAAACACACTCGGTCATATCCTGGTATGTTATATACACATAATTACACCAGCGGTTTTCTCCACATGAGTCAACTGCTGAGCTACAGGAGACAGGAGTGAGAAAACCTGGGGAAAGGAATAACATCTTTGATATTGTCAACTCCCAAGATGTACTGCAGGTAGCGTTCAAACCCCATTCCGAAGCCTCCATGAGGAACAGATCCAAATTTTCGGAGGTCTAGATACCTGTAATTTAAACAGACAGTTACATTTGCAGCATGGTTATGCTGATGTCATTAAGGTAAGCTGTTCTAGGGTTTTTTCCATCTTAATTACCTCCCTTTGACCCTAACCATTGTGATTTCTGTGCTGGTCAGGGGTATGAAGAAGCAGAATTGTATTAGCAGAAACCCCAAGTTTAAGCCCATTTAAACCAGCATAGCTATGCTTTGCCAATACACTACAGCATGTTTCTTTAGGAGCAAGAATGCATTTGGGTACACAGAACAGCTTGAGTACCATAGCTCTGCTCACATGGAAAACACCTTTGTAGTTCTAGTACCTAAAGTAACCCTAGCAGAGGCACAAACCCAGGTTCCTACGGAATCGCAAAGCACTTCCACTACTGGAGGGGAAGCTCTCTGCTTGGGCTTGTCTAGCCTGTGCCATGTTGGTGTGGAAATCTGCCCTGCAAATTCTTTCAATTTCTGTTTGCTTTTCAATAGCCTAAGTAATTTCATTTTCAGTAATTTCTTCAGAAGCTTAAATAGGTCTTGCTGTCTGTCTGCTCAACATTCCTGCATTTTTTATTTTTTTTTTCTTTTAAGGTAATTATGATGGCTTTTTGCTACATTTTCCCTGATCACTCTTACAGACGGATTCATTTATTTCCATAGTAAGACAGAATAAAAACCCTTGAACATATCTTCTCTAAAAATGAGACCTGGAACAAGACATTTTGTTTTGCAGAACAGCACCTGTTGTGCACAGAAAACGTTTGGAAGCAGATATTCTGAGTATATGGGTGTCAACAAGATTATGATGATGGTTTTTCTATAGCTACCCATTTCACAGCTGGACTGTGGCTGATATGATACTGTATTTGCAGCTATAAATTCTCACCAACAGTTTTATTTTAATAGAAGTGAAAAACATCTCAGTGCTTCTATTGATTTGTGGGGCTACTTCTGAGTTTGCTGAGGGCACTAAGTTTTTCTTCTTTATATGAATGCACTAGTAGGGGATTGAGTGGCTCCAGATGTATTACTTGCTTCTAATCTTGGTGTATGAATATTTCATCATCACAGTTTAGAAAAAAATCAAGTGCACTTAAATATAAATGCATATGTTTTACTACTTATGCAGTGGAGTAGAGGGGGGCAGAACACTGTGAAAGAAATTAAGATTGGATTGATTGCAATAAATGGCTTCCCAAACTTTACATACTGTTAATGAACTGCAAGGATATATTATATTTGTGTGTATATATATATATACTCATATATGTATAAATATGTAAAATATGCATTATGTATATTTGATTGTAGTTGTTTGGACATCAGATCTTTTCTTGGCTTGAAGACTGAATTTTAACAGACTGAAGACAAAGTAATGCCCATGATCACCTTCACTTGCAAAATAGAAGTACTCTCCCACAAATGCTACAGCTGCAAGATTGCCCTGTTGCTCAGTTTGACAGTATGCCTTTCATTCCATGAAACATTGTTTTTCCTTACAGCTCATTAGCAGTAGTTAAAAATGTGGGAAACCATTTATTACACTCAATCCAATATTCAGGTTTTTTCTTCCCCAGTGTTTTTTCCCTCTACTCTGCTGCCCAAATAGCAAAAAGAGAGGCAGAACTTACTTCTTCCTAGTAGTACTGACACCCAAAGTGCAGTTTGCAAGCTGAACATCAGGCCCAAGAGTGGGACATGTTTTCTGATGACCAGGACCCATGTGCTTTTCTCTGTGCTGCTGGGTTAGCTTGGCTCACTAAGGCTTGGTGTATGCACCCCACATCTTGTGATGAGGATTATGCTCGTGGATATGAACATGCAGGCTGTGTAACAGCATGATGGTCTTCATCTCTACCCACTTTACACAGACTGCATTAAGAACTTGAGTCTCTGCAAATACCCTGGAACTGCTCCTGGGGAGCTCTGCTGCGCAGCTTTACAGGGGTTTGCAATGAAGGTGATGGGCAGACCTGATGCTGAGAGTGGTGACTCACGAAACAGGAAAGACCTCATAAATGTGAGGGATACGGGTGCTGGCTGTGGCAGATCAGTCTGACCCAGCTCAGGGGTTCTGAGCAGAACTGCCAAACCAGCTGGTAACTACTTTAGCTGTAACCAGGAATACAAGTAACAGCACAAACTTTTCTGATGATGTCTGTAAGTGCATCAGCCTTCTAGTTGTAGTCTCAATTGCTTTTGCAATTTTGCAGTTGAGACTAAGTCCAGCATCTTCTCTCCCTTTTTGCTGGCAACAGAGTTTATAAGTCATTGTGAGAAGATGAAATAGCTACTTCCAGATGAACAGTAATAATAAATTCTACCCTTGCTTATCCAAGACTTTGATCAGTAGATCTCAAAGCACTTTGAGAAGCCATTTTGGCAAAAGGGGCGAAACAAAACCCATCAAAGTTAATGGAAAAAGTACATTGAATTAAATGTGCTGAGGATCAAGACAGTGAATCCTTTCTGATGACTGTGCATAGAAGAAGCAGAAGAATTGAGAAATTTTCCATTCTTTACAGATGAAAGGAAAAGTAACTGCCTGCAGATGAAGAGAAAAATCCCTTTAGGCTGGAAAATGCTCCCTGAGGTTTTCCTTCATTCAATAGTCTACAGACTCTGGATGTTTCTCACCTCAAAAAGAATCACGAACTAGTCTAGTTGTTTTTGCTAGTAGCTCATACTTAAGAGAGGAGCTGAGCACTCTGTTGGCAACTGGTGGACCATGCAGCATTATTCCACAGGGGAAGTAAGTTTCTGTGACCTCAGCTAGCCCAGGTGTTCCTGCTCTGTACCAGAGCACTGGTAGGTCTTCAGAGATTTGAATCTTTTACTAAAGTGTGTACTGTAACAATGAACCCCAGCAATGAATTCCAGGAGCTCATTATGTGCCATGTTAGAAGAACATTTCTGTTCATCTTTTTAAAGATTTATATTCTCTTATCATCATCATGAGCTCCCTGTGTTGCACAGCAAGGCACTATGAAGAGCAGTGCTCTCCTAGTGACCATTCATAAACAGAATGTGTTCTTCTCAGTCTCTTTTCAAAACAAATATAACCTCAATCTTTTATGCAATCCCCTTGCTATGCTGAAGGTTCTGTGGCCAGTTTGAAAAATGTAAGGCTGAAAGAACAAAGGTACTATAGTCCATGAAACTGAATATTCTACTGTGTGTGTGTATGTGTGCCTAAGAAAAACCTCCCTGACTTTCTGCCTGCCTCTGTCTGGCCCAGCATGGCACTCCAGTTTCTTCCCAAAAGAGGAATAATATTCCAGGACAGGTGGCTGCCAAGGACAGTGATGGGCTACCTGTTTTCACTGGGCTCTGAAGAAGGTTAAAGGGTGAGGTGAGTATAGTCACTGGCCATGGGCTGCAAGTGGCTTGCCATGGCTACTTTTCCCTAAGCCCAAGTCCTCCTTTTTACCCTGACACGCAAGGACCCAACAGAACACTCTGACATTCAAGCTTCAAAGATTACTGGAAGTTAAAGAGCCCAACACAGCTCAATCTTCTTCACCCAGAGCAGGTGCAAGGCCAAAACAACACAGTAACATCCACTTGAAGACAGTAAACAACATCTGCTCTGCTACTGTGTACTTTCACCAGTGTTATACCAGAAGATCAAAAAGATACCTGGACTGGTAAAGGGTTCCGTATGAGACAACTGTCTCCACTGAAGCACATGAAGATAATCAGAAGGAAAGCAGTGCCTTACACGTAGGAATGCCCAAAACACTGCTCACGCGGATGGCTGTGGGAACACATCGTTCATTACAAAGTTCCTGCTTTGCTACTTTTAAGATGGCACTTGGAGGCTGCAAACAGCATCAAGTCCCCTGTTTACAAGGCAATATACTTAATACTCCCTGGTCACAGAGAAATCAATGAACTCCCCGAGTACTCTCATCACTTGACTTTCCCATCTCATTTCCACAGACCTCTCAGTTTAGCCAAGATCATCATCTACAGCTCTGAGCTATTTTCTATCTAGAATTCAAAGGAAAAAATGTGAAAATAAGATAAAATAACTACAGAATCAAGCCAGATACTACTCCAACTGATAGTCTACATGGAAAGAAACCTGCATAACAGGAAAGATGTAGTATATTGAAGAAGCCTCATAGAGTTTGACCATGTCACTTTATCTATCTTTTGAAACACTTCCTAAAAGATAGGAATGGCAAGAAGCAGAGCAGTATTTCAGACCATCAATTGCCTCTGCCTTATGATTCACCCACAAACAAGGCAATCTTGAAACTGCCCAAGAAACAGTCAGACCCCACAATATCCTCTTGCTAGTGGGGGGAAGAAAACAGGTAGAATCAAAGATATGGCAATGGTTAAGGGACTTGAAAGGAAGATCACATTCAAAAGTCAGCAAATACTATATTTAAAAAAGAATGACTGTTCTTCCTTCCAAGAGTTTGTGAGTCAGCTTTGAAGGCTCAATTCAATTACTAAATTGGAGGAGATTAATTTTAGTCTCTCCTGCCACCTCCACTGAAAAGATGGATGCTGGCAAGCCACCTACCTGAATTCTGGCAGATTTTGGATTGCAGTCCAGAAGCATCCAGAATTACTACTATCCTACACCTTCCTAGGAAACCAGACTCTGCTATGGCAGAGGGTAACAACAGCTATCATGTTCTCCAGGAAGTTAAATTGTCTGTGATGGAGTGGAGGGAATAAAGGAGGAAAGAGTCTCTAAAACAAGATTACAGCAGGAAGAGTTTACAGAATATGATCATTACATATCATGTGAAAATGCAAATGGGTGACAGGCAATGTCCTAATCTTTTTTTTGCAGGAAGCATGGGGAAGGGCTGTGCTATCTTAGTAGTGCTGGATGGCTCTGCCATTGAACACCAGACTTCCTTGGGTTGTATCTCAGTGTCTAACCACACAACTTATCACCCTTGTTCAGGATAATCCTTCCCTTAGATAAAGGGATATGGTGTATTCTGGGCCACAAATACAACACCAAAGGAAGAAGTTAAATTCACTCTCTTTGTACATGGATGATGTGAAGATCTGCCGTACACTGGGCTGTTCCTCAGTGATTTCATATTGCAGGAAGAGGAGACTGAAGAACTTATACTTTGCCTTTTTTCAAGGCAGCCTGCCTAATGATCACTCCAAATACTGCAGAATATTTGAAAATTCTCTTCTAAAGTTAATTTTCTCTGCATTAGCACTCTCTCAGTAGCCATGATAAAGTATGTAGTAAGAAACACTATGAACTTTCTGTCATTTTAATGGGATAAACTGTTAATTCAAAGGTTGATCTGTTTCCTTAGGAGGACAGCTTTAATTGCTTTAACTCCTTTGTCAGGGAAAATTTTTTGACCCAATTGCCCTGTCAATAGCAAAGGGAGCTATTCATGGACCTCTTAAAGGTCACAAATTGCTGTGGTTCTGTAACCTGTTTATCTCGTGCACGGTGGTCAGAATCTACCCAACTTCCAACACAGCCTAATGATTTAATATCAAAAATCATTATGGGTTGTAAATTAATCCACCTCATGCAATCCTGAGAGGAATGACCTGTGTTGTGAGCAGACAAATTTGAGGCACAAATTAAGTAGCATTAGATTAACCTTTGTTTAAATGAACTGGCTATTTCATTTAGACTGGCAGTGATGGCAGGACAACAGGGCCAAAAATTGTTCCTTCAGAAGCAAAGAAATAATAAAACAAAAAACAAACAAACAAAAATTAATTCCAGTTGCTTGAACAGTCTTAAAAGAAGAAAAAGAGCTTGCAGAGCAAGGTGGCATCTTACCATTGATAGGCATCTGTGAGTCCTAATCTGTGAAACAAAAAGAAAACTCCTTGTAAGTAAAGGAACACAGTTATTCCACACAAGCAGCACTTTCTGGGAAGAACATGCTACAAGAAAAGGGGAAAGCCTGGTGAACTATTATATGAAGCATGCATAAGGAGACAAGAATCCTGTTTTTTCTCTCTAAGGTTATGCTGGTTATGCAGGAAATAGAATTTAAAGGTCTGAAGTATTTGGGCTTAACAAAATGAGATCCTGAGGACTCAAAATTGAGATAAACATAAAGGAGGTGTGATTTAGTGAAGACACACCCCATTTGTGCCTTGAAATGCCTTCTATGACTTTCCTGACAAACAAGAAAGTCTGGCTTCAAACTCCACATGGACCCTTTCTCCTCCTCCTGAGGACTGTGGACTCAGATACTGGCAAAAAGTTTTGACTGAAAAAGTGCAGCAGGCAACATTGTAGTTTACATGAGTTGAAGCATGCCTGCTTCAGAGGGTTTACAGGGAGAGCAGCAGGAAGCACAGCTCATCATCCTACTAAAAACTGAGAATTAATGTTCTGGTGATTTTTATTGCCTGGTGCCTTTTGGATTCATTATGTTGAAGTAGATTTTGCTCTTCTCCACTGACTAGATATAACTGTGTGAGCATGTGTCTGATTTAAGGAACAAATTAATTCCCAGTGTGCAAATGGTGTTACTCTGGGATTAACCTTCCTCCAACACTGCTTTGCACAAGTGTATGACTGGCCCAAACAGAAGTGTTCAGGTGCTGGGTGGGACTTTGCACAATCTGCCCATGGCAGCAGGGTTGGAGTTGGATGGTCTTTAAGGTACCTTCCAACCCAAATCATTCTCTGATTCTACAAAATTTTTCAACAATCAGGTAGGATCCAGAGCACAATTGTCTACGGACAATTACCCAATGTATAATGTCAATTATTAATTAAAAAGCAGCTCTGATGTTCTGACATTGAAGTTAGCCTAAAATTACCAAAAGTAACAAGATTCAGACTAAAGCAGCAGGGAAAGAGGAGCGCCCCATGTGACAGCACAGGCCTTGAGCAGCTCCAGTGAAGCTTCCCATGAAACTATTAGCAAAGAGCCATGTTCTCTGAAATCAGGCCAGGCACTGAGGCCAGCTGCATCACACAAAAGCTTCTGACCAAAACTGCAATTCCTCAGTTACACAATGTGATGACAAAGAGATATCTAAGTTCTGTGTATGTGACAACTTCCACCTTCACAATCCACTTTCAGCCACAAAAACTGAAGAAAAGGATGAAGTATCCCACAGCAGACCCTGCTCCAGACAGTTGCAGCAGAGCGGAGGCGTCCTACTGCCCTGGGCTCTTAGCATAAAGAAAACTTTTGTTCTCTGATGAGCTAAAACAGAGAGGCCTTTTGCACACCTACGACAAAAGCACAAGAACTTCTTCACCAGTTTTCAGTCACCTACTCAGATAAATAGACATCACAAAGACAAAAATAGAATTCTTTTAAATACTATTAGCTGCCCTTCCACTCCTCTGTCTTGCCAACCACAGAGAGCTGCTGAAACACTCTCCTGCTCAGGCTAGTCTCCTGGCATCTGTGGATTTTCCATACCTCTGTAAGCGTGATTCGAGGAAGGGCAGTCGCTCCTCTCTCAAGCTGCCTCCACACAGCTCCCCTACTCCTGGTACAAGGAGATCAACAGCTGCAACCTTCAAAGAAAAACACCTAATTTAAGTCATGCCACATAGGCACACAGTGATTAGCAGAAGAACAGCTGATTCCGGTTTGGTTTTTTTTTGTAAAAACCTACTGTAATTCTTTCAGAGTCCAGGACACTCAGGTAAGGATTTGCACGTACTTTAAAAGCCTTTTGTTGACAGGAGAAGGCTGGGAGGAAGTTTTGCAAGGATAAACATCAGTAATTTACAGAAAACTTAAATGACAGCAGCGATGTCCCAAACTGAGGACATCTACTGCAAATGGTTTGAACTGAATCTCACCAAGTTACTCTGGTGTCAACCTGTGTGAGGTTATAAGGAACACAAGAGCAGCTCAGAAGATAGCAAAGACATATGGAAAAGTTTTTGAAGTGCTGATTCCCTGCTCTGATGCTGTAGCTTGTGTTCAGCCCTATCTATCCCCATTCCTCGAGCCAGCTCTAATGGATATGGTACCAACGGCACTGATGTGCTGCATCCAAGTATTAGGATCCAAGTGCTACCACTCAGGCTGTTAGGTTTGGGCTGTCTGTCTTCTCTGGTTTGTCTTCTAGGGTTATTTTTCTTATCTCACAGCTGAAATGTTGCTAGAATTAAAGCCACTGAAGACACAGTGGTGCATGGCAGTGTTGTTGGTCTTTTTAGCAGAAGCAATGCTTCAGATTTTCTCAAATCAGTGGAGGAATCACAATTTCAAAGCATGAGACTTGATAAAAAGCTTTTTTCTTGTGCTCATCTGCTATTTGAGCATTACATGGATTCTACACTGGGATGACAAGAGAATCACAGATTACTTGGAGCCATCCAATTCTAGGCCTTTCACTTAATAGTACAGAAGTTTACCAGGAAAAGAAACAAACTATGGCAAATTTGTCTTAAGGCAATTAAGGAAAAAGTTAACACTGTCCCAACTCCCAGTTCTTCCTCCTCTTGTTCCCACTTTGGATATTTTTTCTACAATAAGAAAAAAATGGACAGGATCACCTGATGGTCACATCTTATCTCAATCTTTTTGAGGGCAGGCCCAGCAGATGATTTCTGTCAGTAGGCCAAGACATGTTCCTAGACAAAAAAGTGGTGGAGGTGTGACCCATAGACTCACTGTGTGTTGAGGTCCGTCATCATTGTCCCGCATGTAGAAAGGTTTGAGGTCGTATGGGTAGTTAACCACAAACACTGGAACCTCCCCACAGTGCTTCACCAGGTACTTCTCATGTTCCGTCTGGAGGTCACAGCCCCACTGTAAGGACAGCAAAAGGGGCCTGGGAATCTGCTTTGGTGCCTCTTGCCCACGGCAAGAGACCCAGAAAAATCCCTGTACCTAGAGAGATGCGCTGCTTTGAATAACATGAAACCAAGCAAAGCAACTTCTCATACAGGTCACCGGGAAGTAGACATTTTGATGAGTTTTCAGGCAGAGCAAAGCATGTAAAACAATATGATTTAACTTAACAGGGCCAGATTGTCCCTGCAGCATCAAGTCCAAGCATCTGGTATCAAATCAGAAAAAAAACCCAAAACAAGCAAAAAAAATCCCAACCCCAAAAACACCAAATCACACTCTGCATATCTAAAGGAAAACAGAGCCTGCTAACTTGATCCAGCAAACCAACCTTATTTCAGTATTACCTTTAGTGAATAGAAAGCAGTTTTCCTAGGCTGATTACTCTCTTCCCTGCTGTCTCCTGTTACATGCTACATTAATTCTCACTTAAGAAAATCTAGCACCCTATTAACCAATTCTTTGTTATCACAAACCTTGGACATTTGCGATGCCCTTCACTTTTCCTTTTTTCCAGGGATGTTATAAATCCTTTGGCTTTTGACTTGAGACTCCCCAGTCCATTTATAGGACATGCAAAAGAGTATTAGGGGAATGGAAGGGGAAGAGGAGAACAGATCTCCCCCAGACTCTCTTAATACTAAAATATCCCAAGTTTGCTGTCTCAGATCCAGGTAGTACATAGACAAGATCTGAGGTTCTACACCCACTTGTGCACAGGGATGAGACACTTACCCAACTGGCTATGAGGGTGGCTTCAGCCAGAGGGTTATTTTCCTCAAAGTATCATAATGAGATAATGATTAAACAATACAGGCATAAGATGAGCACCACCACAAAAGCTGTCCCATACTGGAGCGTGTATTTGAAATTGGACAAAATATGTTTTTAAGAAAACCATAATCCCATAGCTTTAGAAAGACTAGCACATTACTCTTTTTCCCAGTCAAAATCTATGCTTCAGAAAGACAAGGGGTTCCCTTTACATACATGTAGACTACAGGTATTTTCACATGGTATTGGTTTATTAATCCTTGTCAAACTTCTGCTGCTATCCTCTTACCTTTCCTTTTGTTGAGAACTATTACAGCAACTCTTCTTAGATGATTGCTACTGAATCAGCAACACTCTCAGCACTAGTCACATACAGGAAAGAGAAGTGCCTTTGCTAAAGCCTTGGTCCTTCAACTGCAATCTCATCACTTCCTTCCCTGAAAGTGTTACATGTTCTCCTGCTACAGATTTCACTCCTTGTATTGCTCCCATCTCAACCCCAAAGGGCAAAAGTTACACTGGATTTACAACCCAGCAAAGAAAACACCCCAGGAGGCAGATAACCCGTGCAAACAACTCTTGTAGTATCAGAGAGAGATAGAGAGAGAGAGAGAGAGGGAGAGAGAGAGAGAGAGAGAGAGAGAGAGAGTGTGCAGAGATTCTACGAAGTTCAGGCTCTGCACAGGGACAAACCAGCTGGCAATGACCTACCTCTGGCTTGAAAGTGAAAGTTTGAGGAGCTTGCTTCAAAATTTCCACTGCTTCACTGTAGGAAATTCTGCAAGAGGAAGAAAAAAGTCTTTAAGATAACTATGAAAGGAATAACAAAGTTTTCTGGCTAAATGCCATGCTGGAAAATTAAGGAGGCATTTCCCCACCACCATGCCAACTTGTGTGTAATGTCAGACTTCCCAGCAATGCTTCTTTGGACAGAAACCAAAAAGCATTTTATATGGCAAGAATCCTATGTTTTCCTGTGCTTCAGCTACATGCAGGGCAGGAAGTGCTAAGCTCTCAACACTTCTGCATTATTGCAATATTGCATTTTAGTCAGAAGTGAGTTCTGCAGGGAATTGCTTCATAGAAATTTGTGATTTTTTTTTAAAGAAAACAATATGTCCTCATCAGCATAGCTACAACAACACAGCTCTAGTCCTGGGTGTGTTAGGCAAAAATAACAGTCCAGGGTGCAAAGGGCTCATAGCTCAAATGCTTCCACTTTACTTTGCAAAAACCATGAGATTTATATGTGCAGAAATGTTTCTCTACTTCTCTGGCAGATTTGAGAGCAGATTCTCCACCAATTTCCACCAGCACAAAAGAACAGCATCATGGCAAAGCAAACAGAAAAAGTGCAGTGAACAATGCTCCAGGTTTGCTAACTGGAAATCAAGACTCAATGGAAGATAATGTAGCAGCCAAGTTTTCAACATGCCAAGCCAAATGTTGTGGACAGAGAGAAGAAATAATAACTTGATCACAATAATTTCATCTCACTGGCTAATCCAATTAAAAACCAAATTCCCTAAGGAGTGCAAGATCTTTGCACCCCATTACAAGGTTTCACTAAAACAGAAGGCTTCTGGAGGAAATACCTCAAGAAGGAATATACTGCTCTACATGTTTGGGTTTTGTGAGGCCACAGACCAAATGAGGTCTATGACTGGCACAGGTTCAACACATGTAACCAATGTGTGCAAGCCAGGAATGCCCCAGATTTGCCAGCAGCTGATGAAGAGAGACAGAGAGGGAGAAAGAGATGGTCTGTCTCTCTCTCCTTTTCCTTGGTCCATGGGAGAAGCTGCATGCAACTTTGTCCTTTCAGGAGTATCAGTTGGGTTCAAAGAGAGGTCTGAAAAGGGAGATGGTAACTTCACTGAGGACTCCCATGGTGCTCATGCAGGCAGAGGATCAGGGGATCAATTGTGATCCTGTTGCCCAGGTGTGGCTGTAGCTGATTAACAAGATAACCAGCGCTGGGATGAGCAGCCCTACAATGTTCTGTGGGATAATCAAGAGCTCCACCTTTTGAAGAGACAAGTCAGGAGTAGGGAGGTGGTGGCACTCTTGGGGGCCACTGAGGGAAACTCAAGCCCTTCAGTTCTTTAGCACAAAGAACTGGGAGTAGAAGCAACACAATCAATTTGGAATAGAAAACCAATTGGAATTGTTAAATATAATAAAATGCTTTCATAAAAGGAAAGCCACTGGAGTCAAAGTGTGAATGAAAGCAGAGCATCAAAGCCAAAACTAAGCAAAACTGTGAGCAACCACTGTGCAGGTACATGCTGGAAGGAGAATAATTTTGAGGGTCTTGTCCAGGGGAGTAAAAGCCAAAGGTCAGCAGATTCAGGTGTCAGTCTCATGCAGAGCTGAAAGGGTATACCTGACAAACAGTAAAAGGGAACTGCAACTCATGCTCTTTTGGAGACATTATGCTAACCCAGAAGACACTGAGTTGTGAAAGAAAAAGCACATAGACAAAATAGGAACTCTTTCCCCCAAAGCCCTCTGCATGATCATTTTGAAATAGTACTTACATCATAAATTTGTGCTTCAGTATTTGTTCCAACCTGCCCTTGGTCAAAACAAGAAAAACATAAACATGTAAAGCTACTCTTTAGGGTTCAGGGGCAAACTCAGGAAAGTGACCTCCCTCTATACTGTAATTTGTAGACTGCATTCTGATCTAGATATGGGTCAAAATCCACTCCAGGCCATTCAGTGCTAAAAGGGTACCAAATTATTGAAGCTGATGATTCAGAGGCTACCAGATGAAGTGACAATTACAGTTCTACCACACTTGCTACCAGCTACAGAAAGTTGTTGCTATTAGCCTAAACAATCACTTAAGCTCAAGATGGTATTTTCAGTTTCTTAACACAGGACAACAGAGTAAAAATAAAATAAAATAAAAAAATTAAGCCTTCCTATAGCCATGAACCCCCAAAGACACAAAAAGATTGCAGTTCTTTCCTGTCACATGCATTACCTTCTGTTCAGGAGCTATGTATTTATGAAAAAGCTCAACATCACGAGGACATCTGGAGAGCACAGTGCTCGTCACTGTCTTGAAAAGATCTTCCATAACCTAATAGGGAAAAAAGGATTGCATGAAACATGAACATTGCTTAGGTGCCCCAGACTATAAATTAAACACAGTACACATCAGCCAAGGGTACAGAAGGAGTTTCTGTCCTTCTGCATGGCCAGACTGCATAAGAGGGAACCACCTCACTAATGCTCCTAATTAGCAGGCTTGCTTAGTAGCTGAAGAGAACTGGAACCTTTATTTTTGTTATGGGTTTAGGGCTTCAATGTTGGCTGATGGCCTCAGTATCCTCAGTCAGGTATCTCCAATGAAAAAAATCACAGCTAAATATTCAAGCAGCAACCCTGGGTAGCCACAGACACATTATACAACCATCTTTGGGCCCAGTCTCAGATTAATTCTTAGTGAGGCATTTGTCCTGTAATGAACAATTCTGGATTTCTGCTTTGTTGTTAGAAAAGACAAAATTGAAGGAAAGAGAATAAACATGTAGTATGCAGAGCAAGCCCATCAAACAGATCTCAGCTGTAGAGACTCTGTGCAGTAAGGGCAAAGTGAACATATACAACATGAGTAGAGAGCTAAAGCAGAGGACACATCAATGCACAGATGTTTGAGAAACTAAAAATATGTGGTTCCATTTCCCTAAACTAATGTGGATTAACTAAATGACATTATCATCCAATTTGGATATACTTATCCAGTAAAACGGGCTTCACTCATTAAGAAATTAAAATGTCATTAAAAGCCCCCACATGGGATGCTGCTGCATTTTCATCAACCCATTTTAAGAGTCATTTTCTCTTCTGGTTAAGCCAAGCAAACCATCCAAGACACTTGCTGTTGTGCAGACTAAGAGTTCCCATGGCTCCCTGTAGTCTTACATCGGCACAAAGCAGGCAGTTGACACCTGCGGTATCGACTGATGATCATCCCATCTCTTCTTCAAAATCACCCTCCTAGTCCCATTTTCACTGTAAAAACAGAGCAATACATATGGAACTGCATGTTGTCTCAGCCTGAGATGGGACAAGGTTTTTCCTAACAAAGTGCATCTCAAAGTTCTGGCACATTCCTGGATGGTTGTGGTGGTTTTGTGGTTTTTTGTTTGTTTTTGTTGTTTTTTTGATGTTTTTGTTGTTTTTTTGTTTGTTTTTTTGTGAGTGTAACAACTGCTTCATCAATTGCAGACCTGAGAGAAGTGAATTTTCCACTAATTATATCTAGGTAAGCAGCAGCCCCTAGACACCACAAAGCCTGTGATGGTGGAAAACGAACCTGTTGTTCAGTCAGCAGATCTCAAGAAGACCCAATAGGTCTGTGCCTTACAAGGAACCAGAAGTTACAGGGTAAGAGGAACACAAGACACAGAAACAAAGCAGCTAGGCTACTGATACAGTCAAAATGAGATTTCAGACACATTGTTCACACTTATGCACAGATGAACATCCTTCACACCTGTCCCAAGCTGCTGAAACACTGCTCTGTGCTGGTCAACAACCTCTGCAACCCACCAGCCTAGTGAAGCTGGTAAAGCAGTCCATTTGGACTCTCTGGAGCCAAACTCAGACTCAAAACTCCTGCATCAACCTGGGCCCTCCTTTTAAAAAAAGGGAAGATGCAAATAAGGGAACCGCATTATCATATGCAGATGAACAGTTTTACGCCTCCTGGTACTCAAACACAGAGGAAATGAAAAGCCAGAATTCCTGCTGCTGAGTGGCAAATAACCAAACAGTCAGCTTTGAACTTTCTTCAAAGTAGCTAGAAAAAGGCTTATGCAAATGAAATTAGAAAACTTCTTAGCAATTCATCTGGTTTCACCAGGCAGAGACGAAGGGATTTTACATTAAGCTTCCTCTTTCTAGAAAATGAAAGTATCATCTGGTTTCAGAAAAGCATGTTGTTTAATTAGCACTTTTTTTCCTCACTGTGCGATAAAGTAACAATTAGGTTCCCACAGCATTCAACATAAACAGCTTCCTCTTGTGGAAAAAAGATGTGGGTGGTATGGGAAAAACAATCTGAGAAATATTTCCAGGTTTGAGACTGAGGTTTTATCCTGGCAAAAAAGACAGATACGTGGGTCGTACACTGGCCTGCTCACTGCTCTTATTTATGCCAAACAAATACTAGGCACAAACAGTAGACGCAAAGAAAGAAAAGGAGGAAAAAAAAATACTTCAAACTGAGAATTTATGTCTTTAAGCAGACAGTATAAGGAAGGACTGCAAAGGAGGCTATAGGAAAAAATGTGTGGAGAAATGTAATCACTGGCTTGTTGGTTTAAGGGAACACATGAGTTTGAGATGTAGGTGAACAGACACATTGGTGAACATACTCTGTAAGAAGCATGTTTGACAGGAGACTTACACAAGGAAAAAGGCACTGGAATCACAGCAAGTAGCTCATGTCAGAGGTGGGACACCAGCTGTCCCAAAAGCCCAATAATTATGACCAGAGTTGAAACAGAGCACATCATCTATAAAACAGCAGTAAAAGTCAGCAGCAGCAATTGAAGGTGCTGTGCACTCCAAGAAAGGTTCAAATCATCATCTTTACTACGTAAGAAAAATCGCATGACCTGCCAGTAGGATTTTTATGTATGTATTTACCTGGGCCCTGCATATGGATGCTGGGTAGGTCACAGGCTACTTACATATGAAACACTCACCAGTAGGCCACTGTTTGCTGCCTCCATGCTTGCTCACACCCACTCTGTGTGTGCCCATACACACAGAGGGGAGGATTCACATCTGATCTATGTCTCTCAGCAACACAACCAACAGCTCAGGCCCGATTTTGGAGAGATGCTGTTGTTGTGCAAGAAAAGAGACTAGTCTGCCAGACCACTGCTCCACTGGCCATTGAAACTGAATGCTGGTAAAAGTTAGGGAAGAGAGCAAGCCTGAGCTACAGCAGTTGGATGCCACTTCAGACAAGGAACCTACAGTCCTGCAGATAGGCCAATGTCCCTTAAGATTGTTGTGCAAAACTCTTAGAACAAAGCCATCCCATGCAAGCTGACACCCAAAATCAGTGCTACTGATTTCATTTCATGCCTGAATTCCCCTCTGTAAAATGGAGGTAATAATGCTCCATGTCACTAGGCTGTAATGACAGCAAATTAATTTTGATGAAGTACATAACCAGTGGAAGACAATACTCCTGCCCTCAGGACACAGCTCAAATACTGAATGTTAAATTGTATACTCCATCTTAAAGAGATATAGTCTCCATCCCTTAAAGAGACAGTAGTGCTAGGATGTAATCTTGTTAAGGACGACTAACACTATGCATAAACTCCTGACAATGCCCTCAGGAAAACTTCCTTCTTGCATTTCCTAACTTTACAGACTAAATAATGTCTTTTTTAGCATGGCTTCGTATGTTCTTTTGATGAAATTCAATAATGACTGTATCATATGGCCTCTTTGAGACTCCATTAGCGTCATGAGTGAAGTGGGATCCTTTAAATATACTGCACTGCTGATACAGTGGAATGAAAAATTGAAGATAATGGCCTACAAATAGAGCTACATGACACAGCATTGAAGGGAGAGAGTGGTAACAGGCATCTCAGAGGACAAATGAAACTGGAGACCTTGGACCACCAATTCAGGTACTGGAAGGGCTAATGGCTCTAGGGAGTCCAGACACTTCCACAACTGGACCTCTTCTACTGTCTACCTGAACTTTTCCCAAATCCTTCTCCTTCTCATCCATTTTGGGCAACCTGGCAACCCAACTTCTTAACTTGACTTACGAAAAGAGGTCTCTCCTTAGATACCTTTACATGTACCCTGTACATTAAAGCAGAAATACTATCACCCAGCCATGCAGCGTAAAGCACTGCACTGAGCACATGGGGCTTTCCACAGAAAGTATTGTGAAACCAGTACTGTGAGAGTCGAAGCTTCTTTGTAGCACTAAAACACATTTTGGCACAGAACAGAAATTAAGATTGTATGATTAAGACACATGAGACTTCACAAGAACTGTGCTAGTAATTTAGGAATAACTGAGCACTGCCCTGTGCAATTACAAAGAGGCTGCTGCTCTAAGACTTCAGACCCTTTGTTCCCAAATACATGTAGCTTGGTTATTAAATCTCCTTTTTTCATTTTATTCCATAATGTTTCTTTTGGAGCTTTGGCTGAAACATCTCCAAGCTTCACCAGTGAATGGTAAACACACACATCTTTGTAGCAAGGCTCTTTAATGGTGTATAAGCAAATACTTCAAGATGTCCCTGAAGAAGCTGAGCATTCCCAGCACAGTAACTTGCTCAAGTGAGAGATACTTAGTCCAAATGTTGAATAGCAATTTTAAAAATAAATTTTTAACAATCCAGCTCTTTATGTGAGGACAAAGTTCAGATAATAACCCTGGCCAAGAGCCCTGAAGGCTTTCAACTGGGTGTTTTGCACCGAATAAAAGACTTGCAGATGACAACAAACAGGCAAAATACCTGATGGGCAGATACATACGAAAACACTGAATTTAGGTCAGTTACACCAGGAAAGACATTTAGGCTTTAGAACAACTAGTAAGGTTTTCTGTTGATTGGTTGTTTTTTTTTTCATTTGTTTTGTTGTAAGAGAGATTGCCCAATGATTTAAAAATAAACAGAATGGGAACTCCACTTCCCCAAGTAAGAACACCGCAAAATTAAGCCTGTTGCAATACAAACTCACTGTGAGGAATGCAAAATAACGGCTGCTAGGAGACTTTCTGTTATAGGGAAAGGTGCTTGTCAAGGACTTTGGGACAGAAGGAAGATTTAAACGAGAGCACAAGCTAAAATTTCACAAGATACTTAGCAACAACAAAGGCAAAACTGAGAGGGAAAGTTCCTCCTTTCCCTACAAATTCCAGAACAGTTCTCAAGTATAATTCTCTGAACTGTCTGAACTGTCTGTCTATACTTCCAGAGCCAAAAAATTAGGGTTTTTTGCACAAGATATGTTGATTCTGTGTTGAAGGGTTCAAACACCACTTAACAGAAGACCCTGCTTATTATACTAGAGAAAAAGTAGTGAAGATTTCAATTGACTCCTGATAACCTAGAGAAATAGGGCCTTAGAAATTAAGGTGTGCACATATACACAAGCCGTGCTCTAAGAATACACAAAGCTGCGGGGAAAAAGAGAGACAGAAGAAAGAGCTATTCATGATGGAGCAGAATCCCAAAGGATCAGTCCACACAGCCAAGTGCCATCCAGAAGTCCCAGATTCAGAAGCAGCATACAGAGCACACCAGCTCTGCTCTCAGGCCATGCTGATTCAGTACTGTTTATGACCCATGCTGAAGAAACCACCACCTGGATGTTATTTTATAAATCTGCAGCCAGTGCCTCAGGTATTTTTCTTCATAAGGCTATTTTTCCAATCACTTTCCACAGAGCTTATCTGATAAATGAGAGTGTGTGTGTATGTTTACTCAAGTCCCACTGGGTGTAAGCTGGCTTATGCTGACACTAGTAAGGTGTATAGGCATCTATCATGTAGTTAAACTGCAACTGAGAGGTCAGTCCTGAAAAATCAAAAGCCAGCTGAGTAAGGATTTCCTCCAGTCTTCTGCTAACCCCACAGTGAACAGTGTATGCCAGAAACTGCTGTTTCTTCTTCAGATTTCAATGCAGATTTCAAGGAGGCCTTTACAAAGCACACCAAGGGACACACTGCTTAAACACTGATCACTCAGTGGAAAGGTGTTGGATATTTTGAAAGGGAGACTGCCACTCATTAGTACTAATCAAGCACATTCACATTCCCTGGCAATACAACAACTGTGGAGCTTCCCATTCAGATGAGGGCTGTGTGCACTTACATGTTCCCTTCCAAATTCCCTCTATGGCCTCATCTCTGCTGAGCAAACCCTCATCCTTGGGAAATACCTGTGCAACCTCTACTTAGCTCACACACGGTGAGAGGAGCTGTGACCTCAGCTGAGGGCAAGGAGCACAGCTCAGGGAAAAGGAAGAAACTCTGTTACCAGTCCTGCACAGACAGCAGGAGTGCCCACCTGCATGATGTCCTGAAGGCTTTCAGTGAAGGACAGCTCAGCCTCCACCATGTAGAACTCCGCCAGGTGCCGGCGACTCTGTGAGTTTTCTGCTCGGAACGTCGGGCCAAAGGTGAACACGTGAGTAAAAGCCCTGCAAGGCAGCAAGGAACAGGCAGGTCAGGTCCAGCACTCAACTGGGTCTACTACACCTAAAGCCCACACACACACACTATTCAGCTTTCTCTGAACACAAGTTGTGCTCAGGACATTTTTTGTAACTGTGTGGGAATAAACCCCACCATTCTGCACAATCAGATAACTAGAGAAGCATGCAGATACCACACCAATCATGCTACCCCCACCCACGTGCCTTTACATTTCTTTTGCTGCAATGCCTGACCTTCACAGGTGCTGTGAGACCCCAGTGCTCAACAGAGCAGAGTGAGCCGTGCTGCTGGAGTTGCCAGGCTGGTGGGCACTGAGGGGTGGCCAGTGAAGCCCAGCAGGATGGGAGGTGTATGGCATGCAGTCCCCCTCTAGTGGTAAGACAGAAGTTCATTGCTCAGAGAGCCCTGGGGATAAAGAACTGGGCTCTTCCATCCAGCTAAAAATGGTTCAGCTGAAAGGGGTCACTGCTACAGAGAACACATCTGGGACAGCATTTAATGCTGAAGCAACCAATGCATTTCCTATTATGAAGCCATTTCTCCAGACACCTTCTGGTAAGTCTATTTAAATACATCCTCTCTTGTTCTGCAGTCATATCATCCTGTGTTTCCACTTCCTCCATGAGAATCCTTCCTATCAAACACCAACACGCCTTTAAAAGTTTTGATTTTATGTGGGAAGCTGCACTCCAAGCAATACCTTCTACACTGTGATCTATGAGCACTTGAGCTCCTGGACACCCTCAAGCCAGTGAGAGCTTCCCACATACATGCCATGACATCTGTGTTTCCTCTCATGCTGCATGGGAAAAAAAACATGATTGGGGAAGAGAGCAAGCTGCTTCAGAAAAACCATGAACTGGGCAGCTGCTATCTTTGGCACATCTTTAACTTGATGTTATTTTTAGCTGCAGACAGTGTGTAGGAGAACAAGAACCCGATCAGTAGAGATTAAGCACAGTTTGACACTCATGAAAGTGATGCGTGCTAATTGCTGGGGCTGGCATTTGACTTGCATCTTGCTCTGCAATCTTTCAACTTAAAAAGGATGTTCACTGAAGTTTCTGAACAGGCTAATTTTGTTAAACTGAAGTTTAAATAAACAAGACTACAAAAAGCAGCATTTTTCCTTTGCCCCTTTTGGAGACATCTGTGCTACAAATAAAGGAACACACACATTCTGCTTCACTCATCTGTTCCCTCATGTCACATGTTGGTTAAAGGTTACGATCCAAAGAAAGAGCACTTTCTTTTCCCTAGTTGTAGTTCTTTTTCCTAGAGCTGCTAGTGGTAAACACACCAGAAGAAAGTTTCAGGTCAAGACTCTGAATACATAGCCTGCCTGTAGGTTTTTTCCCCCTATGGCTCTGTTTTCCCTCTTCCAAAAAACATACTTTCTGTCTCCACTTTGCTTTTGTACCTGCACTCTCTCATATACGACCACAGTATCTACAACCAACTAACTAGATTTTGCAGCAAACATCTTCCTTCAAGCATCATTTTCAGCATGCCACTTTTCCCTCTGCTGCCTTCCTCACTTGCTGAGATGTTACTGTAAACTTCTGTCACTCATTCATCTTCCTTCAAACTGCCCTTTGCTGTAGCATCTATAAAACCTCAGCAATGTTTAGATAAGTGATGTACCAAGACTATTACTCACTGTGGAGGTCATTCACTATTATATCATCAGTTCCTTGTGATCCCTCATCTGTAGCCACCTGTTGTCTTGGGTTATACAGAAATTCATGTTCTTCCTCTCATGACCTTTTTGGTTTGTTTTTTTTCCCATGCTCCTAACAGCACCTGGCACAACAAGGTCTTGGATCCAAAGATTAAGAGCCTCTACTGCTATAGCAATACAAACAACAAATACGAAACAGTGAGTCACACAGTCAAAATCATTTTATGTTTAAGGCAGAACTGGTCAAAAGCTTTTGTTTGCCAGGTTGCGGAGGTTGTCCTGCAGTGGGAAGCAGGAGTTAGAGGCAGGTTCTTGTTCTACCTGCTCCCAAGTTTCAGGCTTTTGCTCAAATATTTCAATTTGAGGCCCTTCAGTTATAGAAAGAATTTTTCCTAAATAAATGAGTTTAGTCACAAGTTCAGTTTGTGACTGAGCCAGGATCAGACACAAGATGAAAATATTATGAAAAGCTTACAATTGCTGAAGTTCTCATTCAGGTCTGCTCAGTTTGATGTGCAAGTCTCTAATGTCTCAGTGACATGAAGGCCTCAAAGTAACACTGAACTAAAGTGTGACACTAGCAGGCTAGCATGAGATCCTTTCCCACAGAGCCAACAGCCTGGCTTCAGGGACAGACATTTCTCAGCGGCTGTCCACGCACCGGCACTGACACTTCAGTTACTGCAGGATACTGTGGCAGGACAGATTCCAGCAATGAAAACTACTAAGAGCACTTTGAACTGCACTTATTTCCTAATGGTCAGCAGCCCAAGCATAATGACTAGTTACTCATCTTTCAAGGGGCTAGCTGACTGCAAGATGCCTAAAAGCAATCAAAAACAAAAACCCCCACCCTCTTATTGCTCCAAGATGTCAGACATGGTCAAACACTTCATAGTCAGAGATCAATTCTGTAGTGCTAGAATAAAGCTCCTCTGTGCCCAAGACAGCTTCTGGGCAGGGAAAGTGCAGAACAACTCCCACAGAAACCAATTGCTGTCTTTCCTCAGCTCTAGGCACTTGTACACAGAGAACCACCTATGTTTACAAAACAAACCATTAGCACTGCAACTCCATGGACCATCCCAAGGTGACAGTAAGTGTAAGGGCTTTGTGATAACCTGTAGAACCTAACATCCCTGGTGTGGGGCTGAATTTGTCTAACCCTTGAAAAAGGGGAAAAACAACACTCACTCACTAGTCCCCCTCCCCATCAAATAAACCCCTGTCTGCAGGGAGGGGGATGCATTCATTTCTCACGCTAACTGTAAAGGGAAAGGACAGATACAAGTAACTGTGAGAACTTCACTGGGACCCTGGCAAAGGGAAACTAGCCAGATGTCATGCTGGCAAAGCGATCAAAGGAGTGCAGTAAATGCAAGTCATCTGGTAACAGCAATGTAGCACTGACCAGAGGCCTGGATATAACAGAGAAACACAGCTAAAAATACACAGAGTCACTGTTATCAACTCTGTGTGTGAACAATTATTTTCCATCCAGGCATTCATATACTGTTTACTGTGCCCTGCCATTCAAGATAGTAAGCAAATGCCCACTATACAAATCAAGCCTTTCTTTGTACTTCATCTGCTATAAAAAACATATCTGTGATTCGATACACTGCTGTATCACACTGACCATGTACGGATATATCAGAAAAAAGGGATGGGAGTTGATTCTGCTCCAATTTAATGTTACTGAGAGCAAACCCAGTCATTTTGTTCTGTGTGCATTCAGCACCTAGCACAATGGAGCCTCAGTGCAGTGCTGTGACTCCTATGCTCTATGATGCAAATAATCAATCATTTAACATTCCCAGACCTCTGCAAGACTTCCAGCATTTAAAAATAACTTGAAAATTCTGTCTAAGTCTCCAAAAGTGCTTAGGTCAGTTCGGGTTGTGGGCACTCAAGAGTCTTTTAAAAAAAATCAGTAGTGCTAATTCCTCATCTCCAACAAAAGCATACACACAGGAGAGGGAAAAAAAAAAAAAAAAAAGCCCACTAATCTGCTGAGCCTTTTTCTTTAGCCATTACAGGCAGAGCAGTAATGTCTGTAACACTCTCCTTGTACGTGCTACCAAAGAATACAAGAGAGGCTTTGAAACGAGTCCTTTTGCAGTCAGCTTTGCCCAGATCAGAGCTCTGGACAGCAAGCTCAAGAGCATTTATGCAGTTCACAGGCGCTGCTGGGGTCGACACCACAAGAAGGCACAGAACCGTTTAATTAATTGCTCCCTTTCTGTGACTGTATTTTGCTCTGCCCAGTTCTCTGGGAAAATTTGAGAGCTTAATGTGGAGGCCAAGAGAATACCCACAGCACTCCTTCAAACACACTGAAAGCATCAAAAGCCAGCGCCCCATCCTGCAAAATGCTGAGCTTGCTCACCCCAGCCCAGTGAAGAGCCCAGCCCCTGTTAGCTAAAGGCTCCCAGGAGTCCCCTTGGACACTGAGGCAGTACCTGGAAGTGCTGCTGGGACACAGCTATCCTCTGCACAGATGGTGGAGGCTGCACTGTTGCACAGGCCACACTTGTGTTCTCCACCCTATGAACAGCCAGGAAGGGAGAAACTTTCTACCTTTCACCTTTATTTCACACACTACTAAAACAGTGTCCAGAAGCAGACACCTTTGGGAGCCTTCTGCCATGCAGAATGAAAGCTCATTTCATTTGAGTTCATTGACATTTCATTATTGAGGAAGTGAGAAGAACCAATAGAGAAGTAATAAGTATCCGTACCCAAAGCTGCTTCAAATCATTCTTTTAATTAAACTCATGCAATGTTTGTAGGCCTCAGTGTCTCTGCCTTACTGGCAACTTTTATGGTGCAATCCAAATAGAATTAATTGTGCTGATGATTCCCAAGCCAGGAATGGATTGTGCTCCTTTTCTGAGCCAGGACTCCACGCTGCTACCAAGGTAATAAAGACTTATTTGTGCTGTTGAGCTAAGGGCATATAACTCTGAACAAGGCTATTAATCAAGAAAGTGCAATCCCTGCACAGTCAGCTTACAACCAATGCCAAGGTCACACCACAAAGTAGTGACACAGCTGGAGGCAGAAGCTGGTTCCTGTGACTCAGGGCTAAGCACTGAACCATACCAGTACACACAGGGAGCAAAGATGTTTTCCAAAACTTCATCACCCCAGTGAGTTCTACTGTAAGCCATAAAAATACATTACCAACACGGCAGAGAGGGAACAATTCATTTTCACGGTGCCCTTGCTGTCACCCCAAAATGTAACAGATGCCTACGTAAACACAAATATATTGATTACTCTGGCAAGATCTGCAGGGAT